ATGTAAGTATTTAATGATGTCCAACTAAACGATGCATCTCACATCATACTATCAATGTCCCTGGCAACTGCCAGGCAGCTGCACTACCCTCATTTCCTGGCCTTGGGGGTCTTCTGCTATGTTTATCTTTTGCAGATCCTCCTCGCACTAGGGACAGAAGGAGGAGGAGGCAAGCTGAGCTTCTCTCCTAGCCTGTGAACAAGGACTGACCTGCACTCCTCAAACCCTATGACCTCCTGAGGCTCCTGCTGGGTCCTGCATGCTTCCTTCCCTGCTCCTTAAGGATACAGGGAGCCAGGAAAACTGATAAAATGGAGGAGAAAAGTCTCAGATAGTCTGGGAATGTTTTTATTTTCTTTTTGAAAGGCTGGCTAATAACACATAAGAGCCCAATTTCTCCTTGCAAAGGTATGTGGGTGGAGGGGGTTATTTTTAAACCAGTGACTAAACCATCTCCATTGTCAGCATTTCATAAAAATATATTTTAATCTAAAATGTATTAAACACCCAAGGGGATGGAGCCCTTGGCTAGGCTCTGAGGTAAGCATCTTCAGGCCATGGGGGTAGGGTGGAGGCTAAGGCTGCAGACTGTTCGATCTAATCGTCAATCTATCCCCAGAACCATCTCTCCTGGACTCCAGCCACTGCACCCTGCCACACCATGTCTGGTGCCCCCATCACCCACATAGACACGCCAGGAGAGGGGAAAAATAAAATCACCAGAAAAAAATCTAGAAGAGAGAAATAAGGCCTCCCCAGCAGTCTCCACATGGGCTCCATCACGCTCTGGGCCACATGTGTTGGAGCATCACACTCACCATCTCCCGTCTGCCTTCATCCTTCTCCTGCAGCTTCAGATGTGCAGACACCTGTAGGCAATAAGGACAACAGTCAGGCTCCATCTGGAAGGATGAGTCTCACCGGATCCAAGCAAGGTCCAGGGCCACACCGGGGTCAACACCACACCATGCTTCAAAGCCACAGCAAGGTCCACGGTCCCATCAATTTTTTAAGCTGCTTAATGGATTCACGAGACACTTTCTCACTCCCATGGCCTTATAGAGGTAGGGTCCTGGGGGAACTATGTGGGTCTGCTATGCTTCTGTTTATCTCATGGTGTCCCCATGAGATGTTTGTTCCAGCACAAGGACAGGGAAACCCTAGGCAGCAGGCTTTGAAGGCAGCTTGGGAGGGGACCAGAAGTGCATTCAGGACCTCCACAAATCAGGTGATAAACCACTGCTGACTTGAAGCTGTCACCCTGGGAGGATCTGTGGACAGCAGGTGTGGGACAGCAGGGTGAACTTCCTGGTTTGTTTACTCAGATCCTCTTTACCAGTGTAGTATGGGGTCCCCAGCCTTGCCTAGTGAAACCCCGAGACAGAATCACCTAGGCCAGGTTCAGCCCTGTTTCAATTACACCAGACTCTGTGTTCTTGGGCACACCTGAGCCTCAGTTCCCTCCTCAGCACAAAAAAATGAGCTTAAAATCTACCTCATTATTTGTCGAAGTTTCTAACGGGGTCAGATGAGAGACTGAGAGGCAAGGGAGGGGACTAAAAAGGCCCCAGGCCTCAGAGTGGAACAAGGGTAGGCCTATATCACCCCTACCAGGCCAGCTGCCTATCTAGTGACACTGAGTGTCCCAAAGGATGTGTCAGGATGGACATGAGGCAAAAGAAGGACATAAAAATGTACAATTGCCGGGTGGTAGTGGCGCACATCTTTAATTCCAGCACTCAGGAGGCAGAGGCAGGGGGATCTCTGTGAGTTCAAGGCCAGCCTGATCTACAGAGTGAGTTCCAGGACAGTTAGAGCTGTTACACAGAGAAACTCTGTCTCAAAAAAGCAAAAAAGCAAAACAAAACAAATACAAAAATGTACAATTACTGTAGTTCAGTAGCCAGTGGCCAGGAAGTGGAGCCCATGGAAGACAGGCTCTCGAGGGGTAGAAGGTTAAAGAGAAACATCCCTAACGGTACTGTGAACACCCTCAACTGAGGATCTAATGGTATGTGACTCTGAAATGTATGTATTTCACAGCAAGACCGAGAGGAGACACAGTCGCCACAGAAGAAAGTGGTGGAGCTAGAGAGGCAAAGTGATGGATCACCAGTGACCAAGAGCTACAACCAGGTCACCCAACACATGGAGGGTCACTCAGGGACTCACTGGAGTAAGCAAGTAGATGAAGGACAAGACTTGGGGTGAGGGAAACCTTCTCAGTAGGCTGCCCACTCTATTCTGTGTGTAAACCCTTCTGCATCCTCTAAGCCTGCCAAAGCCCCTTTGGAGGCCAGGTTGGCAGGCAGATCTCCCTAAAGTCACTGTTCATGGAGGCTGGGTGGTGGTGTTCCCTTACTCAGTACCAGAGTGAGAGTAACCCTGCCAGGCCCTCCCTTTCTGTTTTCCCACAAAGCAGGTCAAGGAGCAGACCTCAGATTTGAAATCTTAACCCACTTTTCTTTGTTGAGTTGAGGCTCCTTTGAAGTCACACGAAGTGCTGTGTGGTAGCCACTGTCTGGGCTTTGCCCATTTCAAGTCATGAATGTGAGGGCAAGACCTCTCCGTGTAAGGCCACCAATATGAACGTGGTATCTGACAATGTCCTCTTCAGGACCAGGGAGGGGACAATCCCACTGGGACACTATGCAGTGGCACCAAGAAAGCAGAGAAACAGCGCCAGCCAGGCACAAAGTGAGCCATGACAAGCAGAGGCTACCAAGCAGAGCTGAGTGTTGGTTTGTAAATTACCCTATGGGAGACATTCTAGAGGCTTCTTCTACTCACAAAGAGATCATGTGAGCTGTCACTGACTGTGGGGTACACCTTTATAAAAAAAAAATGATCCCAGAAGCCCAGAGTTCCTGCACTGGTGGGGACACAGTCTGTGCAAAGAAGGCAGACTGGCTGTTCTGGACACCGATGCTACAGGCATCATCTGGACACTTGCATGGCCCCAGAGGGAAAGGTATTTTTAAACTCCTCCCGGACTTGTGCACTGGAGTCTCAAGTGAAGACATGTGATAGGAGTGGAAAGAACCAAGGCAGACCTATGACAACCAAGGACAACACTGATGAGCCCCAAGGCCCAGGATGCACCCCGTCTTCCTGTGCTACTCATTCTCCCAGCAATAGACTGGAATAGTCGCACAGATGAGGAAGCCACGGCCAGGGAGCTAAAGCAACATCATGGAAGGAGGCAAGTTAGTGGTGAAGCTCAGAGACCCTGGGGCCACAGCTCTGCCTCCGAGCCCCCACATGGCACTGCAAAGCCTGCAGCCCTCCCTCAAGGCTCAACTCCCAGAGGTCCTGCTCACCCCTCCTCCCCAGAGATGGCATCGCTGAGACCCTGTGGGTAGCTAGCAATGGCTGACTCTGTCTTTCCCCTGGCATATGGGTGTGTCTGATGAGGCTCTCAGAGAACCAGCAATCCACCAAAGAAGGAATGACTCAAGGACAGCGATGAAGGGTATGTCTGCTAGATTATATCAGCTTGACATAGGAGAGAGTCATTTGGAAACAGAACCTCAGCTGAGAAAATGGCCCTGCCAGATTGGCCTGTGGGCAAATGCCACTCCTGGGCCTGTGGTCTTGGGTACTCTAAGAAAGCAAGCTGAGCAAGCCATGCAGAGCAAGCCAGTAAGCAGCATTCTTTCTCGGCCCCTGTTTTAGTTCCTGCTTCCAGGTTCCTGCCCCACCCTAGATGATGAACTACAATTATGAGCTGAAATAAACCCCCTACCATGTTTTTGGTCATGGTGTTTTATTACAACAATAGAAACCCTAATTAAGCAGAAGGGAAGTTGCTTAGCCCATGGGGAAACAGGAAGGTGGTTTCCATGGAAACAGTCATTCAGCTTAGTGATCAATAATCTCAGACACTTGATTGTGACTTTGCCAAATGAGAGCTATTAAAACTCCTGCTCTTGGGGATTGTGTTCCACACAGCTGTGTGAGCAGCAAGCCTGAGGCAGCCCCTCTGCTAGAGGGAGTGAAGTGTACGTGGCCGGGTGCAGCAAGTTCGTGCTGTGCAGAGGGCAGGGGTGGCTCACCATCATGGCCTCCTGAACGGTGAGGTGAGGCAGCAGCATGTCATCTTGCATGATGTAGCATGACACCTTCCGGAAGCAGCGCAAGTCCCGGGGCATGCCATTGATGAGGACTGCCCCCTTCATGCCGGTCTCTCTGCAAAGACAAGGGGAGGTGGCTGTCAACCAGAGCCTTCAGCATCCCACCTGCAGGTGGCTGGGAGAAGCAAACGAGAGAGGGTGCCTCCCTCCCTCCTGGGCTCTTCCCAGCAGAACCATTCACCATGGCCACAGGATAGGGCAGAGGGACCAGAGACCCAGAGCACCATACTAGTACTCTGTGGGGAGCAAGTGGCCAGCAGGGAGACAAGCCACACACCAGGCCACTCTCAAATGGCATGTTTATCACACCAGATGGAAAATGGCTTCTTTTCTTTGCCTACTGTGCAAACATGCCTGGGAATGCCCCTCGACCCAGCCACAGAGCAAGGATGTACACTGGCTATTTTATCTGCAGCCCAGACTACACCAACTGCTCCAGGATCACAGGTGCACCCAGCAGGTGCCTCAGGTGGCTCAGCAGAGACAGCATCCCAGCCATGATGCTTCAGCCCCACGACTGGTCCTGATGCAAGGGGAGAACCTTCTGACTGCAGGTGAGGTTGGTTGGGAGCCTCCTGTGTCCTGCTAGGGATAGAGGGCCATCACCCTAGCAGCCACCCTGTGGGCTCCTCATGCGTGTGCACCTATCTTCCTTTCCTCCCAAGGACACAGCTTCGCAGCTCTGTCTCCCCATGGCCATGGAGAACAGGAGCATTATGGAACCTGAGGGCACTAATAGAATCATCCTGGGTTTCAGCTTATCATGGCTCACTGTCAAGGCTGAGGGCCTTGCGGTGGGTCCTGCTTTCCTCCCAGGCAGTGGGCAGCTCCCTTGGCTTTGCCTGCATCTCTGGAATGCACAAGCCATCCTCAGTCTTCTAGGAACTGCTGTGATGTTCTGAAAAATAGCTGGCCTCAAGAAAGTACCCCACTCAGCTCCCTCCCTGTCTTGACTCCTGGAGTTGAGAATTTGGCTTTGATCTTCGGATGTGAATATAATGGATAAGAACTTGTCATAGTGATGATTGTGAAAATCAGAACCTCTGATGTTAGGATGTTAAGAAGCAATTCAGAGCTCTAAGGAACAGTGAGGTTTATCCCCTCCCCCCCCACCCAGTAATTGAAATCATTAGCATTATGGTATCCATGCTCAGGAACTATGTTATGTTCTGGCTTGCATCTGAATGTCCCCCACAGGGTGTGCTTGAACTCTTGGTCCCCATATTGTGGTATTGAAATGGAGGTGTGTGGCTATGGGGCCTGGGTGGTAGAGGTCACTGAGAACAGACCGTTAAAGGCTGAAGCCTGGCTCTGCCTCTGGCTCCACTCTATTGCTTCCTGGGCAGAGCCAGGGAACAGTGACAAACCTGGCTGCTTCAGCTGCCATACTCTCTTTCCCATGACTGTGCCCCCCAGGACTGTGAGCCCAAACAGACCCTTGCTTCCTACAAGGGATGTGGCCACAGTAGCAGGAAGGTAAGTGATGAGTTCTAGGTAGATACTGAAACCACGTAGGGTTTTGTACACTATATGGACCATGACATTTTCTATGCTGCATGCGTGTGTGTGTGTGTGTGTGTGTGTGTGTGTGTGTGTGTGTGTGTGTATGTGTATGTGTATGTGTGTGTGTGTTAAAGCTTAGTTTATAAATGGCAATAAGTTAATAATAACCACTAATAAAACCGAACAATTATAATGGGCTGTAATAAAATTGTCGATGCCCATCCTCATATTTTGGGGACATTATTAAGAAGAACAAGGGTCCCTTAAACAAAATACCATATATCTCCAGCCAATTTGATAGCCTAGACAGTTAACAGGCATAGAGTGTGACGACACTGATCCATGCCCCAGATGGAACAAAAGTGGCATCAGATTGCACATTTCTTTTAAAAAGATGTGTGCAAGTAATATACGAATTGTTTAGGATGGAGTTTTGATTCTTTTGGTCCATGGTTAACTATGGGTCATTGCTGCTGCCACACCTTGCTCTGTGAAAACCAAAGGGCAGGATTTTAGGAAAGCTTTTCTTAAGCACTTCAAAAGGTTCCACTTTAGAAACATTCACAGACACATGACCTTGGCATGACCTTGGGAACGGTGATTCCCTAAAGTCCAGACAACCATGGAAACCACAAGCCTTGGGCATGGCAGCTCCTCATTCTCTTCTAACATGCCTTGTCTAACTATCTGGCACACCACCCTACTGGCTCTCTGTCTTCTGACCATTGCTCTTCCAGATCTTGACCTTGGTACTCTTCCCTTTCCAGGGGGTAAACTGAGGGCGGAGCTAATTAGGAAGCTGCCTTTGTCCACCTGCTTGTGGTCTCTTCTTCATGCCATTGGCAGGTGCAGGCTTTCGGCACTGTGTGCTCTGTGCTGTTTCCTTCCTGAATTCTCAAGCTCTGGACACAATCATGCACCACACACACACACACACACACACACACACACACACACACACACACACACACACTCAGTTTTCCAGGAGCCCATGTGAGTAGAGCTTCTGGTAGCAAACCCTATACATGACAGAATGCTCCCAGTGATGACTGTCCTGAAGTGGCTCCACCCCCACACAGCTCTCTCTGCTGTCATCTGCTCACCTGTATCCTGCCAGAATGTTCATGAGCGTGGACTTCCCAGCTCCAGAAGGACCCATGATGGCCACCAGCTCTCCACTGTTGAATTTCCCAGAGATCCCTTTCAAAAGGGTCTTGTATCCTGCAAAATTTGCAGATTGGATTAGTTTTTCTAATTGTTGCACGCTTGGTTTGGCTCCAATGCTGAACTGCTTGGCTGCAGCCAAAGGCAGAGTCTCCCACAGTGCAACATGGAAGACTTAAGGTGACATTCTAGGCCGGAAGCAGACCTTGTGTCTGTTCTATGCTTCTGTCTGCTTCCCAGAATGACCTCATACCATCCACGACCTAGACACATGTATATTGCTTAGGGTTTTCAGAGCACTTGTCCAAATGGCATCTAAGTCTAGGGAGATCCACCATCCCCATCTTGAAAGGAGGACAGGTGGACAGAGCCTATTCAGCACTGGACCAATGGCCGTTACACCTCTGCCCAATATGGTGCACAGGGGCCTGCACTGACAGGCAATGACCTCAGTATTTCATTTGGGAGTTTTTTATTTACCTCTTCTAGACTTACATAAACACAAATAATTTGTACACAATTCACAAGCAATTGCTTTATGATTAAATAATATAATCAATGCATTGTTAATTCCCGTATGAATGATTGAAAGGGCTTATTGTCACACAGTCACATCAAATGTCTAGGGAATGTCTGCCAAGTGTCTTCTGCCAGGATCTTTAGAAAAGGGGCGGATGTGGGGGGAGCCACACATCTGAAACAAAATCAGAACACTGCAATTTTCAAGTAGACTGTGGAAGTGTGCTATAAATGATAAGTGGATGCCACTGGTCCAGCGATACCAACTCAGACATGTCCCTTGGCATGGCATCAGATAAGAGCCCACCCTGGAGTGACAGGCAAACATTACATTTTAGCTCTTGTGTATGTCTAAAGAGACCTCCCGAGCCAGGGGCATGTGGGGAACTTGCCTGGTCTCCCCAGGCTCCAGCAAGCACCCAAACCTGCAGGTCCAAGAAAGTTCCTCCCCAAGGGTATGTTCTATCCACAGTCTTACTGTTTCTCACAGATGGGATACTTGGACATTCTAACCTGTCACCAGGTGCCACCTTAACTTGGACATGGAGTCCCTGGAGCCTTGTTTAAGAGAGGCAGAGAGAAGCGGAAGCTAGAGCCAGGAAGCCTGCGGCTCTGAGACTGAATCATTAAGCAGAGGAGGGTGGCTGTCAGCTGTTGTCCCCTAGGGCTGAGAATCTCCCCAGTGGGAAAGGAGACCCAGGAACAGAAGGGAAGGGCATCAGGGGAGGCTCTAAGCTGTGGAGGAACCCAGTTCCCTACATGATGGCACTAGAGAGCAGAAGATGAGCTAGCCAGAAGGACAGGAATTGTGTCTGCCTTCAGTGGACAGACAGATGAGCAGATGGGCAGACAGAAGTACAGAAGAGCCAGGGATGGCAGACACTCTTTCTGCACAAAGCCAAGCTCCCTGTCCTGCAGGCTCATCAGACAAGAGTTCTGCCACTTGGGGACAGATGTGGACCTCCAGGGGCCCTGAGTGACATCACCAAGGGAGTGCTAAATGCCCCGGTGCCTACTCATTACTACACTTGTCTATCTAGGCTGGAGTCGGGGTTACTGTCGAGCAAATGGAGCTTCAGGCTGCTGGTGCTTCAGGCTGGTTCTAGTCCAAGAGGAACACTCAGCCCCTGCTGAGCCCCCATGAGCTGGAAGCTGCTCCAAGCTGGTGACAGGTCACTGAGATGGCCACTAGCTGGGTGAAAGCCAAATGTGATTCAAGTCCCCTCTGTACAGCTTACATGAGAAAAACACATAGATGGCTGGACACAGCTGGGCTCCCAGCCCCCGATCAACAGATGAAGTGTGTATGACCAGGCCTAGAAGCCACCTCACACATCTAACAGGGCAGCCAGCTGTTTAGAGTCCAGTTTTGACACAGCCAGGGCAGGACCAGACAGTCTTCTCTTAGGCATCAAGACCACATTCCTTTGCCTATGAACAAGTCAGTCCTTCCTTGTGGTGATACCTTGTTTATACTCTAACACATAAAGCTTGCCTGACGATCAGAGGGTGGGGCTAACTAGCTAACCATAGAGGCCTGGAGGTCTGTATAGACAGACAGGAAGTGATGTGGTGGGGAGGAGGTAAGAGCTCACTCTCTTTTTAGCTGGGAAGTTAGGGAGGTAAAAGTGGCTATGGCTTGCTCCTTTGTCTCTCTGATCTCTCAGCAGCCTCTCTTTTCCTGACTCCCCACCTGTGAGCAGACTCAGCGTGTGCACAGAGGGGGCAGCTGTTCCATGCAGTCTTAAAATATGCCAATCGTTGGATTCCCTTACGTCTGGTGGTCAAAGGTCGCACTATGGCATCGAGTGTCAAAGTAAAGGGCTTAATTCACATAGACGTGTGGGTTACATCACAGCGTGTCTGTGTGGATTATGGGTCCTGTCTGTGTCCGGGTACATGCAGGACACAAGCTCCAACCAAGAAGCACTCATGAGATCAGACAGTTCCAACATGGCTGCTTAAGGCTCTGATCGCTTTCAAGGGAGCTGAAACCATTCCTGGAAGCCCAAGAGTCACAGGGCTTCTCTGTACAGGGGGCTGTCAGTTTGGAAGGACCCCTGTCCCCAGCATCTGCCCCAAGGTTGGCTCACAGCTGTGAGAACCCGCCACTGCCACGGTGGATGGATGAACACTCCCGCAGGCCTGTCCCTGATGACTGCATTTCCAAGGCCCAGCAGACAGAGGTCACCCCATGAGTGAAACCACCCCCTCTCCCAGGAAGGGGAGGGTGATGTGTGTCTTGACTGTATGCTATCAGCATTTTTGTAGATGGGGTGCCATTGTGGGCTTATGGGGAGCAAGCTGTCCCCAGGTGGAATGCAATCTACTTGTATGACCTCAGTACCCCCAGGGAGGCAACTAGGAAGCAACACTTTGGTGTCTTGGGGAAACAGAGAGGCTGCAGAGGCCCAGACCTTGCAGAGGCCTCAGAGAAGGGGTGTCCACACTGCCTCCAGGTCCAGCCGCCTCACAGCAAAGGCCACTTGGTTCCAACCACTCTTCCAGGAACAGCAGAGAGATAGGTTCGGATGTGGAAGCAGATGCCTAACCGATGACGAAAGCTCCCAAGGACTGGATCTCGGAAACCCCAGCCAGACTCCCTGTGGAGCCGGACAGTCTGAGGTCATCTGCTAAGAGGCAAGTTCACAGTGTGTGGACCCCTGAGCCTCAGGGGCTGGAGCTGGGAGAACCCAAATATGGCAGAGAAAGCAAGACCACTCCCTTGCTAGGCAGTTGTGTGGCAGAGCCCCAACTAAAGAAAACCAATGCAAATAAAACAAACAAAGACCATCATTTGGGTCTTGGGAGGCTGCAGACTTCTTATCTAAATACCTCAGCCTCAGGTGAGGAAGAAAGGAGCAGGCAAACCTAAATGCTAACAGCATCCCAGCCTACTGGGGCCCTCTTCCTGTCACACCCACAGAAAAGAGCTCATGCAAGTCTGCCTTAGGTCCATGTACACACATGGGCATACAGTCTATATACACGCTGCCAGCATGTGCACAGGGCCATTCTTCATCTAGACATGAACACACCATCTCATCCCTTCAGCTCATCATAAACACCATGGATGCAACCTATCCCTCACCACTGGGTACACACGCATCCATCACAGACACACACCCGAAGCACACAGACTGTCTATAGACAGGCTATGTCCTCCGATCACAGCCTGGCCATCCCTGGTCTAGCATGGAGAAAGCTGGCAGTCACTCACATCGGCCTGCACGAAGCAGCTTTCCATTATACAGAATTTTTATGCTTCTAAAAGAGAAGGTAGCTTCTCTCCAAGCTTCTAAGCCTGGCTAGAACAATCTGGAACAGAGTTCTCATGGTCCAAATGGTTCTACAGCACTGATGAGGTCTCCAGATGGGCTCCAAAAGCTGCACCAACCTTACTTAGCCTAAAGGCTGTCGGGCTGTCTTGGCCTCCACACCCAAGGCCCAAACTGTCTCTGCCTCAGTCAATGTCCCTAGGATAGCCTAACTTCACTTCCCTGCCTCCCCTGCTCATCCCCTCACTCTCTTAGCTCCTACCCGGAGGGTTCTGACTCCAGAACAGATTGTCTATCTTTCCCGAATCTTCACACTCCCTCCTCAAGAGTAAATACAACTCCCAAAAACAGAGGTACACATTCTTTTGTTGTTGCTGCCGTTACTCTTACTATTTCATCATTTTCTATGTGTGAGTATTTTGCCTGCAAGCATGTTTGTACACCATGTGTTTGCCTGGTGCCCATGGAAGCCAGAAGAGGGCTTCAGATCCCTTGGAACAGGTACTTGTAGATCACCATGTGGGTGCTGTGGGAGAACTCAGGTCTGGGGTTGGGGATTTAGCTCAGTGGTAAAGCACTTACCTAGCAAGTACGAGGCCCTGGGTTCGGTCCTCAGCTCTCAGCTCCAGGGGAGGGGGCTGAGAGAAGAACCCAGGCCCTCTAGAAGGGCAGCCAGTGATCCTAACTGCTGAGCTGTCTTTCGAGCCCAGAGGTACATAATCTTTCAATATTTGGTGGCATTCTTTTCTTACCCCATTTTGGGCGCTCCCCTCCAGTGACCAAGGACTCTAGTGTCCCCTCAACCCTCGTGAGGCAAGCATTGTGAACATGCATACGCCTTGCTCTCTGCATGTCAAGGCTCTGATAGCATCTAACATAGCATGCTGGGACATGGAAGACACACCCTGCAGAACTGTGGTGGTGGCTGCCGTCACAAGTCTCTCTTCCATGGCAACGCCCAACACCGGCTTTCCTGTCCTATCCTAACACACTTGGCTTGCAAAGACATCAGGAGGGGCTCTTTCCCGACAGACTCCTCAGTTGCAACACTAAAATGGGGTTAAAATCCAAGTGGTGAGCTGGGCCCGGCAGCATATGCCTAAAATCCCAAGTGTTCAGGATGTTGAGGAAGGAAGACCATAAGTTCAAGGCCTTGCATGGGCCTCTTAGTGAGACTCTGACTCAAAACAGAAATTAGCAGAAAGAAAGGAATGTGTCGCAGTGCAAGAGTGCTTGTCCAGTAAGTGTGAAGCCATAGGT